TTGGTGCATTATCGCTATCTACTGGTATTGAGCACATTCTCGCTGCCTGCACCGGCCCAGTGATGCACCGGCCCACCGGGAAAAGTCCCTGTATTCCCAATGGCCAGTCTGCCCGTCTGAAGCGGGAGGAGCATCTTTGTTCGCTTGCTCTTAAGTAAATAAAGCAAAGCCATTTTCTTTATTTTATCTTTATTTCACCTGCTGAAGACAGACCGGGAAAAACCTTGTGCACACCAGATAATTAATTCACCAGATAATTTAGAGGTGGTTTGTTCAGTTAGTTTCACCACTCCAGGAGCTGCAAGCTGACAGACTATTTTTTTGTCCCGAGCCCAGTTAAACACCGCGGTCAGTTTAACAAGCCTCTGACCCAAATCAGTGCTGATATCTCCAGCCAGAACACCAACTGCAGATGGTCGATTTCAGCTAAAGAGCTCCTGTCCATCTGTTTCAGGTCAGTGGGCAACARTCAGGAAARCGTCARGTGGAAAAATGAGTCTGTCTGATTGGTTGACATGGTAGCAAAAYTCCAGATTTTTTAACTCGAGCATCGGCTGCTTTYGATGRGCATGCACGTCAAACYCTCAAACRGCATCTACTGCTTCARTGTGCGCCACACTAAAGGGCTCGACACACYGGAGGTGACAAACTACAGRGATTAACGGCTGTCATCGCAMCCAGGGTAAAARTCGACACAKMGGATGCAATAGCGWTGGCAGCGTMGTGAATCGCGCTCTCAGGTCGCTTGTCTTCACGAAATTTGATTGGTTCTCCTACTGCCTCTTGTAAAGGRCATTGGTGGTTTGCAAAAARMGGGMGTGCATTACGGACGTGTAAACTAYACAAATCTTGCGATGCTAATGATATTGAAAAACAAACACACACCAAGATACAATATGAGTAAAAACTTACCGGATAACTTCACCCTGGCGCCAACAAATTCCCATAAAGCTGCCTTTTTTTAGTAATCATTGGTGAAAGGGTTAGCTAACTGCAGTGTGTAGCATACTCTCCGCTCATTGGTCAGGGTCAGTCAATGAAACTCTTGCCGAGTGGTTGTACGCCAAGTGACAGTGAAGAAAATTTGAACATTTTTCAACTTTCATATGTCGCGTCGCAAGCTTGCAATGTGCACGTCTACGTGTACGAGCGCAAAATTCCACATGCACGATTMTCGCTGGTCGCTTGGCTGGAGGAGGGCAAGTGATTGTCACCTC